GGGGAGAGAGCGGACAGAGGGGAGAGAGCGGGGACAGCGGGGACAGAGGGGACAGCGGGGACAGAGGGGACAGAGGGGACAGAGCGGACAGAGGGGAGAGAGCGGACAGAGGGGACAGCGGGGACAGAGGGGACAGAGGGGACAGGGGGGACAGCAGGACCGACACCAGGACCTACAGCGGGACCAATAGCAGGACCGACACCGGGAACGGCGGGGACAGAGGGCACAGCGGGAGCCGCAAAGGCGACACCCACCGGGAACGAGACCCGCACTGGAAACGGCATCCTCACACCACCGAGCCCGGCACCGGGACCGGTAACGGGACCTGCACCGGCAATGGGAATGGCAGAGGGACCCGCGCCGGGAACAGAAACGGGAGTGGCAGCGGGAGCCGGACCCGCACCGCCACCGGGAGCGGAGCTGCACCGGGAGCCGGACCCGCACCGCCACCGGCACCGGGAGCTGCACCGGGAGCGGGACCCGCACCGCCACCGGCACCGGGAGCTGCACCGGGCGCGGGACTCGCACCGCCACCGGCACCGGGAGCTGCACCGGGAGCGGGACCCGCACCGCCACCGGCACCGGGAGCTGCACGGGGACCGAGACCCACCCCCGGCCTGCCCGATGTGTGCTCACATGAGTGCAAAGTTGTACTGAAATGATGCTAAAATGCCAATAAAATAGTAAAAATCGTTAAAAAGCAGAGAGTAAATAACGATAAAATGTCCAAATTACAATGAAAAATAATATAACATAACATAACATAACATAACATAACATAACATAACATAACATAACATAACATAACATAATATAATATAATATAATATAATATAATATAATATAATATAATATAATATAATATAATATAATATAATATAACATAATATAATATTATCATCTTTAAGGTCCCTTCCAACCTAACCCGTTCCCTGATTCCATGGGGACAAAGGGACGGCAGGGACAGGGAAGCTCGGGGTGCAGAACCGGGGGGATCCCAGCAGCCACGGGAGTGGGATGCAAAGCCCAGTTCATTTTTTGGGAAGCGCATCCTTGCTCCAACAGCGCTCAGGAAAGATCCAGGGACGCGTTACTGGGGTCAGGCGCCCCTTTTGCAGCCTCGCGTTCCCCGCGTGAGGCTTGGAATGTCCCTTTGGCCTCGGGGAGATGGGGAAGGAGCTCACCCAGGCTCCTTTTTGCGAGGAACTGAAAGCAGCTCATGCACCAAAACTCACCCGAGGTCACCAAACCTCGCACGGAGCCAGCCCTGAGCGCACCCCGAGCTGCCCCGCACGCTCACGGCATTTTTGGGGTGACCAGAATTCCACAAATATCCACAAATATCCACAAATATCCACAAATGTCCACAAATATCCTCAGCACAGCGCCGCTGGAGCCGGGAGCTCCCCTCGCCGGGGCTGGGCAGCAACAGGAGGCTGGCGAGGGAAAAGCCAGGCAGGAACCCAGCTTTGGGGGGGAGTGGTGCCCAGTGCCGGGTGTTCCCGGTCCGTCTGACCCAGGAGCAGGGAAATGCTCTGCCCTGGGGGTTTCTTCTTCCCCCTGAAGCCTCGAGAGCGTCAGCATCCTCAGAGTGGCTGGAAGGACCACGCGGGGATTTGGCGGAGGGGACACACGGAGGGGGATCCTCCAGGCACTGCTGCTGCAATGCCCCGGCTGGAATTTTTCCCTGGAAGGGTCTTGGTTTGAGGGTGAATGATGCCCTGGTTGGAAGGGAAGGATGGATTGGAGGCCAGCGAGGCAGGGATGGACATCTCCCCGCCTTGCACCAGGAGAGGGGGCCCTTCAGCCGGCTGGAATCGGCAGGGAAAAAAAAAAACTTAAAAAAATGCAGCGGAGGAGGAGCTGAGGGTGAAATCGCGGCCGAGTAAAGGATGGAAAATCTCCTGCCCTGTCGCTCTGCCGCTTCTCTGCAGCCCGGGCTGGTTGGCCGGGTTATTGCCAGTGGAGCTCGGAGCCTCAGGGGATCCTGAGAAAGGTGGGCAGGGAAAGGGAAGCGTTCCTGCCTGGCATGTACGGGACAGCTAAGGATTGTGGCTGGGAACAGCAGAGGAAAGGCAGCGGGGCAGCTCTCCCAGCTCATCCCAGCCTGGAGAATTCACCTTCCAGCTGGAAAAGTCCCGAAGGGAGCCGGGTTTGGCCGGCTCTGAGGCTCCCGGGGCCTCTGGGGGGTGCGGGATGCTCTGCAGGGGGGTCCGTCTGCCACAGGTCCCCCTCCCCAAATGTTCCTCCCCACGAGAAACGTGAAACCCGGAGCTCCTGGGGACCACGGGCTGCGGCGGAGCCGTGTCACCGGTGCCACCGGAGGGCGTTCACGGCCAGCGGGAGGGGACAGCAGAGCCTCGGTGAGTCAGGATCCCGCTCCCTCCATCCCGGTTCTGCTCCTCGGGGAGCCTCTCCCCCCAAGCCAACCCCAAACCCCGCTCGGGTGTGGAGAAGAGCCTCATATCAGGGCTCTCCTGGGCAGCCCAGGATGAGGGGCTGAATTGAATTGAAGGGGAGCAGTGGATTTTCACCCCCGAGCCCGTGTCCCCCACCCTGGCAGCACCAGCCCTGCTCTACCCACCCCGCTGGGGCTCAGGGAGATGATTTTAGGGGTGCGACAGTGGCGCAGACAACTGGGACCTCTTGTTATGGGGGGACAAGAGAGCTCTGTCCCTCTGTGTGACCCCACCTCTCGCTGCTGCGCTGCCACCAGCGCCAGCCTTGGGGACATCCAGGGGACAGCCAGCCCTGAGCGCATCCCGGCTCTCCAGCCCACATCCTGCAGCCAAGGCAGAGTTTGAGGAGCATCCCCGGAGGTTTTTGGCTCGCACTGCCGGTGCTCTCGGGAGCCGGTGGCCACCGGTGCTCCCATCTCTGAGCCCACCATCCTCACACTGGGCACCACCTGAAATTTTTTCGCTGTTTGATGCTGCACTTCTCGAAACGGATTTCTCGATCTCTTCTGAGCCGAGAATTTCGGGATACTCCTTCGCGGGGAGCTCCGTTTATCTCCGGGTCAGGAGGAAAACTTTAAAGCTCGTTAGGATTTTGTTTCTTGTGTTTATTAGGATGTTATCAAAAAACTTGGCAGGTCTTTCCAGACTTTCTGCACAAGTTTAACTCACCATAACCTGGCTCACTTGAAGGCACAAAACGGCCCCAAGCCACGCGGCTGTTTCATCTTTATACCTATTTTTATTTAATTAACAATAAACACGTGTATTGTTCTTGTATATTAACAAATAAGTTTTCTATATCACTTACGTAATTAAAACTTTGACTAACTTTCAATGAATCACTCTTTGTGCCCTTAAAAACTGCAGAATCATGGAGAAGGAGGAAGAAGCAGAGTTAAGAACTACACTCTTTTTTTCCCCATCTTTATGTATTAAACATTCTAAAATCTGTATTTTTTACTTCAGTGACGTTCTAAACATTATACTACTTTTAACATGATTTTTTTATAAATCTTGGCTTACTCAGGGATATTTGGAAGCCTTTCTGTCAGTGATAAGATTAATATCTTTTTGGAGAATAGGACAAAGAAAGAAATGTTTCTCCATTTCTGGATTCCTGCCAGGGTGGAGGACACAGGTTTGAGGGAATTCTTGGGAGCCTGGAGCTTCTCCTGAGCAGGGAGGAGCTCTCTCCGTGTATCAACCTCGGGACAAACTCCATCCTTGCCCTCTTTCCTGCCCTCTGACCCACAGGTACCTCGCACTGGGTGATCCATCAGCCCGAACCCCCAGCGGGAGGAGGGAGGGGAGGGTGGGAGGAGGAAAAAGGGTTCCCGCTGATTTGGGAGCAGCGCTGGACCGCGTGTAGCAGGTTTAAAGTGCCCAGCTCCTTTGGATCCAGCTCTGATCCACCCACAGGTTCCACCTGGATGGAGTGGAGAGCCAGCATGAACCTCATCCACCCGCTCCAGCAGCCCAGGGCAGGAGGAGGCTGAAGCGGAGCTCTGTTACCGCTTCAAAAGCCAGAAACCAAAGAGAAATTCACGGGTTTAGGTTTTAAAGGGTGATGTTCACAGCTCGATCTCACTTTTCAATGGTCAAAACTACTGCCAGTTCTCAAAAATGACCAATTATTGGCCAGGAGAAAAAACTCCCCCCAGCCTCCAACAGCCTGAAATTCCTTGGGTGTTTCTCTTTTTTCCTTAGATGTCAATCTATCACCCGGCTCAGCACTGACAGCCCACGAGATGCTCATCGAGGCTGAGACGAGATTTTTTTTTCCCCCCCCAAAAAAGGCAGGAACCGGTGTGGAGTTCAGAGCCCAAATGTGTCCCTGTGGAAATGCAAAGAGAAAGATGGTGTTGGGCGGCTTTCTTCTGTCACCAATGCTGGGGAAATAATATTTATTATATATAAAATATTAATATATTAATAAAAACATAAAAATATTTTATAGAAATATAATATATAAATAGAAAAATATTTTCTAAAAATACACAATATATATTCCAGATTATATTTTTATAATATTGTATATTATATAATTATATTATATTTAATTATATATTATATAATAGTATATAATATATAATATAGTATATTATAATTATATAATAATATATTATTTAATAGTATTATAATATTTATTATATATATTATGCTATATATTATATATATAATAATATATATAGCAATAGGATATAAGATATAAGATATAAGATATAAGATATAAGATATAAGATATAAGATATATAAGATATAAGATATATAAGATATAAGATATATGATATATAATGTATAATGTATAATGTATAATATATAAGATATAAGATATAAGATATATAATATATAATGTATAATGTATAATATATAAGATATAATATATAAGATATCAGAGATACGATATAATATATAAGTTATAATATCTGATATCTAATATCTAATATCTAATAAATATCTAATATCTAATATCTAATGTATAATATCTAATATGTAATATGTAATATATAATATATAATATATAATATATAATATATAATACATAATCTATATTAACAAAACTGAGACACAGAATCATTAATCCCCATGGGGAGATGACTCCTGGTAACTTATCCCAACCAGCTGAAGAACAGAAACTGGAAGTGCAAGGTTCACTTTTAATCAGGAGGGTCATTCAGTGTTAGAGCAACTCCTCTTTTCCCCCAAGGAGAGCCACAAGTGGTTGTTCTGGTGCATTTTGGGGCTGGGGGCTGCGTTTCCCAGCCAGGAGATGCCCCCAGCCCGAGTGCTGGCATGGGGCAGGTGTCCCAGGCAGAGGGAGAAGTTCTGCCCAGAGCTTTTCCTGCATCAAGGAGAGTGCTGGGAGCATTTGGAAGGGGAGCTGGAGCCCGGCTGCCATCACTGGACTCATGACTCATTTTAAAACCAGCCATAAAAGCAATTTTCCACAGAGTGATCAAAGCTTCCCCGGCTTATCACCGCCCCGATTCCAGTACTGACACCGTGGCACTCGCACACTGCCCGGGGAATAATTGCAGGACTTAATTGAGGAAGGTCATTAGGGGCAGGCAAAGATAGGGGAGCTGGAGCCTCTCACCCAGTGTGAGCTGCTTTTGTGGCAGTGATGATGACGATGGACAGGGCAGGTTCAGCTGGATACCTGGAAAAGGCTCCTCACCCAGAGGGTGGTGGGGCACTGCTCAGGGGTGGGCACACAGCTCCAGGGGTGTTTGGACAATGCTCTCTGAGGCACAGGGTGCGATTGCTGGGGGGTCTCTGCAGCACCAGGAGCTCACTGATGATCCTCGGGGTGGCTTCCAGATTGTCCTGATTGGACACTCGTGGTTTGGTTCTTTCTCCATTTGGACTGAGATTGATGAGAGGGAGGCAGTTTTCTCTTGTTCAGACTTGGTTGTTTATTCTCCTTTTATCTACATAAATGGATACCGGCTTCAAGGAGCTACGTGCACTAAGATAGAAAGGTGCAAAATGGCTAACAAAGAACTTCTTCAAGGTCTTTATATGTCTATTTACCCAATTAACAGATACCAAGTTAATTATTTTTCTTAGTGAGCCAATGACCCAACACCTGTGTGCTGCACTGCGGCATTCTCTACCCAATCACCCACTACTACCCAAAAACCCACAGGAGAAGATGATGAAGAAGGACAAGAGACAACACCCTGGATCCTCCATCATGTCTTCTGTTCTTAAACCAGTTTAAACCTTAAACTTTAACTTTCTCACCCAGTGACTCAAGAAAACTCTCTAGTTTACACACTTATATTTTCAGTTTCTCTACTTAACTCTAACTGTTGTCTCCATGGTGCTATGTGAAATTCAGTGCTTTCTTGGGTGTCAGAGTGAGGCATCACAGATATCTTGCATCTCTGACCCCAGCACCAGATCAGGAGATCCAATTCTATGATTTTATGGACCCCAGCAGGAAAACTGGGGCCTCACCTGGCATCTGGGCTGTTGGGCGGGATGCCCAAGGAGCGGCGAGCACGCAGGGATTTCAGACCAAGGTCTCAGGGGTCCTTCCTGCCTTTGCAGGATGCCTGGAAAGGTCTTCCACAGCTCTGGGGGATGGTTCCTGCAGCACCAAGAGAGGGAGAGGTGCTCAGTGTAGGTAGGGAGTTGTACAGAGGCTGCTTTGTCTCCAGCCCCATGAAGAGAAGGGAAGGATAACTTGCCTGCTCATTCCTCTCCCCTCCAGCCTCTTCCCTTCCCCTGCTCCATCCTGACACAGGGGTGACTTCTTCAGCCGTCCATGAATGGATCTTGGGGAGCCCTTCCACCAGCCAGGGGCTGTTCCACACCACTGATACCAACATTCAGCTGTGTATCTGCCCCGGAGCAATAAAACTCTCGTCATGCAAAGAGGGGAAAAACATTCCCGCTGTCCTTTGTATCTGCTCCTGCTTATTGCAGCCTTATCAGCACATCCAGGCGGCCTTCAGGGCACGGGAGTCACGCAATGGCTGCAGCAAACGGGGCCTGTGGACCCACGGCGTCACTTGTGGGGCCACGTCTGCCCCACGGGGACAGCGCGGCACCGATGAGTCCCGGGCAGTCCCGCTGCTCTTGTGAGTCACCACGTTCACTGAGATGAACCTCCAGTGGATGGTCCCACCTTCTCCTGCAGCAGGGGAATGCTGGCTTTGGGATGTCCCTTGTGGGACGTGGCTTTGGGTCTCTGGTGCTCTGGTCCTTGCCGTAGTTGATGGAGCTATTATTTGGCTGGTGAACCTCGTGGGCTGTCCTAAAGCATCCTTCCACTTTTTTCCCTCTGGTAGCCTGCAGCAGGTCTGGACCTTCCCTTCCAGTGCTTCTCCTACAACATTTGGATTATGGCATTAGGCAGGAAGGACAAAGCTGGTGTGACACCGACAGCTGCTTGTGCTGGCTCAAAGAATTCGGGTGGCTCTCTGAGGCTGCGTCACCTCGGTGCTCCACCACAAACTGGCGACTGAGCCTGGACACACAGAGTCACTCCTTTTCCCCCAGGCGGGTTCAGCGGGTCTGGGCAAGCCAGGATCTCCTCGAAGTCTTGGGCAATCGGCTTCCCCATTCTCTTCCCCACCACACTTTCATCTGTGCCTCTTCTGGGAAGCTTTTTTGCAACGCCTGATGAGTGATTGGCATTTGGACATGTCAGGAGCTCTGGCTGGAGCCCCACTGCTCGGGGTCTGGGGCTGTGGGGGCAGAATTCTCCCCTGGGAACGGGTGCAGGAGCAGAGCGTACCTCACCGGGGGTTGTGCTTGTCCCCGTATCACCGCTGCCAGGCGGCGGCGTTGGCTGGGGCGGCTTTGCGTGCGAGCTGGGGAAAAGGAGGCATCTGGCTCTGCTGGCATGGGCTGACTGGCAGCCAATGTAAACTCTTGGATTTGAGCTGGAGCAATTCCTGCTTCTCATTCTCTTCCTGCTGTGAAAACACCTTTGTTCCAGCCCAGAACAGCAGCAGCTCGGCTTTCTCAGCAGCCAGGGCTGAAGGTGTCCTTCCCTGTGTCCTTCCTCGTGTCCTTCCTCTTGTCCTTCCTCTTGTGCTTCCCTGTATCCTTCCTCGTGTCCTTCCCTGTGTCCTTCAGGGCCACCAGGACCATGGTGAAGGAGGTGGATGAAGGCTCAAGTTGCACCAGGGGAAGTTTGGATTATGGGGAAATTTCTTCACCATAAAAGTGGTCATTGGTGGAGTTAGTGATGGGATGGGGGTTAGTGGTGGCCTTGGTGATACTAAAGCCTTTTCCAACCTAAACAATTCTGTAATTCTGTAATTTGGAGATCATGATGGGGGCTGTGGGGTTACGGCCTGGCTTGGCTGTCCTGCATCTATCGGAGAGCGATTCCGAAAGGATACAGCCCAAGACTGGATGTGGTGGAATAGACAACTTTTAATGGAATACCCAACACTAGAAACACCAGGAAACAAAGCAGGCAACGATTGCTAGAGAACAAAGCAGATAAAACAAGAGTCCAAATGGTTTCAGTTTATCCCATCACCCCACAAAGTTGCTCCAGAGCCAGCCCTGCTGCAAGGACACTCTGGAGATGTCGCCGCTCAGCTCCTGTCCTTCACGGGGAAGCGCTGCCTGACCTGGAAGTGCTCACACCTCTTGTGCTTCAGGGACAGTCCGTAGAGAGGGGTCATGTCCACCCTGCTGCCCTTGCAGACGCTGAACTCCAGCTGCTGGAGCAGCGTGGCCAGGAAGAGGAACACCTGCCACCTGGCAATGTTCTCTCCAATGCACCTCCTCTTCCCCAGGCCAAACACCAGCACCTGCTCCGCCTCCTCTTTGTTCAGTTTGGTTCCATCAGCACTGAGGAAACGCTCGGGCCTGAAGGTTTCTGGGTCCTTCCAAAGCTTCCTGGAAGGGAGAACATCAGAGACGTTGAGATGGTTTCTCCTGGTCATGGGTGTCAGTGGGACATTGGAAGGTGGGAACTATCAGGAGGAACATCCTTGATGGTTTTGCACTGCAGGAAGGGACCTGTTTGTCACTGCAGGAAGGGACCTGTCTGCCACCAAAGGAGGGTTTGTGCCTCACAAGACACTTACTCATCATGGTTCGTTTGCCACTGGTTGACGAACACGCAACGACCCTTTGGGATGTAGTAACCGTTCAACACCGTGTCCTTGGTGGTGCTGGGGAGAGAAAAGACGGAGAGTTGGGAAGCCCAAAGGTTTTTCTGCATCCTCAGGGGACTGTCAGGCTGCTCCTGAAGGCTGTGTCGGTTCTGTGGGGGCAGCTGTGTCCTCCACGAACCATAAGATGGTGCCTCAAGGCCACCTCATCCCCAGAGCAGCTCTGCCAGCCCTCCCGTACCTGTGTGGGATGGTGAAGGGCACGAAGGAGGAATGCCTGAACATCTCCAGGATAAAAGCTTCCGTGTAGGGCAGCGTGCCCCGGTCCGACAGCCGCGGCCGCCTCTCCCGCCCAATGGTCCGGTCTGGGGGAGGTGGAGAGCGAGAAGGGGGTCAGGGCTGAGCAGAGAGGTTTGGCCCCAGAGGAATGTGGTTTGTGGACTCACCGAGCTCTTCCTGGATCTTCCTCTGGATGTCGGGGTACGTCACAAGGTACATGAGGCTCCAGGACAGGGCTGTGGTCACCGTGTCGAAGCCTGGGCAGAGAGGATGGGGTGTGGGTGAGCCCCATGACACCCACCCTGGCCTGCTGGCTGACCATCACGTTCTGGGCTGCCTGAGGAGGCAGGGGACATCCTGGACACGCAGCGAGGCTTGGGGCTTTATTCTGCCTTAAAAAAACTTTGCTAAAATAACCTGCTTTCCCAACCCGTCCCGCTCCTGGCTTGTGTCAGGTTTGTACAACTTCTTGGGAATCGGGGGAATTTCTACAGAAAGATGAGTCAGCCCACGGACATCTCCCACAGCCAGGAAAAACCACCCCGGCTTGTGAGGCTCTGCTGAGCTGTAACCCCTGCCCTTCACTTTTCCAGAGCTGATATCCCAGACTGGTCTCTAGAGGTATCCCTGAAAGGTCCAGCGAGCAGGAGAGCGAATGCTTAGACCCAAACCAGTTGGTGTTGGACAAGGGTGAGACAGTAGGAGCCGGAGAAAATCTGAGAGCGTCTGCCACAGCTGAGGGAAGGTGGGAGAGGATACCTGCTCCAAAGAGGTCGTTGACAAGGTTGACAATCTTCTCCTTGGGGACCTGCGTGGCTGTGTTTGCTGCCAGTTTTCTGTCCAGGCACTGCTCGATGAGGGAGTCCGTGATGTCCCGGATGTTGTTCTGAGGGGAAGAGGAGACAAGGTCATGGAGCAGGGCTGGCAGAGGGTTGGGTGCTCCTGGGGGAGCCCGGGGTCACACCAGCTCTGGGGAGCATCATCCCTCAGCTCCTGTGGTCCCGATGGAAACAAGGAAAGGGCTCTCCCAGGAACCCAGGCACAGAGCACATGTTCAGCCACCAGACTGGTCACATCTCACAGGGAATCGAGGAGATGCTGAGAGGCTCATGAAGGGCAGGTTCAGGTGGGACATCAGGAAAAGGTTCCTCCCCCAGAGGGTGGTGGGGCTCTGACCAGGCTCCCCAGGGAACAGGCACAGCCCCAAAGTTGCCAGAGCTCCAGAGCAGTTTGGACAACGCTCTGAGGCACAGGGTGGGATCTCTGGGGTGTGTGTGCAGGGCCAGGAGCGGGACTGGATGATCCATGCGAGAGCCAACTCAGGATATTCCATGATTCCATGAGATTCTAGGAGTCTGTGAGAAGGAGGACTGGGGTGGGACAATGGCCATTGCTGCTTGGCTGCCAGAACAAAAACACCATGCTGATAGAGCGGGGAGGAGAGCAGCTGAGGGTCCTGCAAGCTCTTACCTCATCGTAGGTCTCATAGTGCTCCTTGACCCTCTTCTGCAGAAAGCTGAGTAAGTACCTGTTGAAATCTAGAAACAATTTCATGCTGCGGCTGGGGAGGTACCGGAGCACGGGGATGAAGTCGGCTGGGTTGCCGGCAGCAGCCACATTGGTGAACTTCTCGGTAGAATTCACCAGGCTGAGCAGCTCCTGGTCCTCGTGCTCGTAGCGCTTGCCGAAGCACATGGCACAGATAACGTTGGTAACTGACACCACCAGGTACCGGTAGGGCTCAAACCTCTTCTCCTCCTCCATCAGCTGCAGGAATTTGCTGACCAGGTACTCGGCCTCCTTGGAGATGTGCTCCTCCAGCAGGCAGCTGCAGGACGACGTGGGGCTGGGGGCGATGGAGAAGCTCTTCAGGGCGCTCTGGGCCAGCTTCCTGCGCGCTTTCCACACCTCCCCGGAGTCGGGGCTGAACGTCAGGCTCTGCCCGTCCGTGACAAAGCGGAAGCTGTAGAGGTCGGGGCGCCCCATGAAGTCCTCTCCTTGCTTGACCAGGGCTTGTCTGATGGTGTCGAGCCCGCCGAGCACCAGCACGGGCCTCGTGCCGATGCGCACCTCCATCACGTCCCCGTAGCGCCGGCTCAGCCGCGTCAGCGCCAGGTGCGTGTCCTTGCGCAGCTCCAGCACGTTCCCCAGGATGGGATAGCCCCGCGGGCCCGGCGGCCTCCGCAGCCCCTCGGGCACGGGCCGCTGCTGCTGCTGCTGCAGCCACTGGAGCAGCAGGAACACCAGGCAGAAGACGGCGGCCACCAGCATCACCTCGCTGGCCGACACCGCAGCGGGGCTCCCCAGCAGCCCCATGGCAGCCTTCAGCATCCCCGCCGGCTCGGAGCGGCCCTGCGCGAGGGAAACGGAGGCACGGCAAGAGCCGGCATCAGCCAGGGGCGCAGCGCTGCGGCTCTTCCTGACGCTGGCACGGGCAGCCCCGAACCAGCTCAGGGGCCGGAGCTGTCCCCGCATGGCTGGGGCTTTCCAGCGGCACAGGCTGCACATCCAAGAAGGCTCCAAACGCACCCACCCATCCCTTACGGGGGACCTCAACCCGTCAGAGCCTCCAGCGACGCCCCTTTCCCCGCGGCAGACCCAAAGCCCCACTGGCACAGCCGTGGCTCCTGCCCAGGCCGTGCAAAACTGCAGCTCGGCACATGCCAGGGAAGCGGGAGGAAAGGAACGGCAGCTCCTCCGTAAATGTGGCTCTAGGGCTGCCAAAGCCATCAGGAGTTACAGGCAGGAGGATGGACCTGCTGGCCACAATCCTGGGGCACTCTGGGGAGCGGGGACGCCACAGGGCTGCTCTGTGAGAGCACACAGCTCACTGCGTGAGCAGGGACACCCAAAACTGACCTTCCCATCCTATATCCATGTTCAACCCTCCCTCCCCAAAACGCACAGGCTGGCTCCTACCTGCAAGTCCTTGGGCTGTTTTTTACTGTCCAGGGCTCCCAGCAGAGATCGGCACCGGGAGCAGGGGGAATCCTCCTCAGACTTCTCCTGTCACCTCGTTCTCCTCTGCCTGCTCTTTCTTGTGCCACCTGCAAGTCCAAGGCTCTCTAAGCTCGCCCCTCACTGGGTATTTATCTCCCGAGGGATGGGACCGGGACGCTGCAAAGCCCTTGGGAATAGCTACCCATTAACAGACTTGGCCGAGCCTGGCCGGAGCCTGCCCGGGAAGCCAAGGAAGAACCTTTCTCCCCTCCAACAGGCTCTGGGGCACGAATGGTGACTTCTCCTCCTGGCCAGGGACCTGGAACCTCTGTGGGGAGGAAGAAGGGGGTTCCTAGGATAGGGAGGAAGAAGGCGTCCCTAAGCCCTGCCATGGGGACGATATAGGACATGAAGGCAGCACCGCTTGCCTACAGAATGTGGGTGCTAGCATTTCCCCAAAAAACTTTTCTGGGCTGGCCAGGCCGTTTCCAGAAGCCAGAATGGGCTGTCACCGGCACGGGCACTCGGGAGGTGCTGGGGGGGTGCGGGCTGTGAGCGAGGGGACACGTTTGTGGCGAGGCACCCACAGCCCTCCCCATCCATCCCTGGGGAAATCAGCCGGCAGGTCCCGGGAGCGGCAGGATCATCCGGGCCAGGGGCAGAGCCAGGCTCCGGTTAACGATTGGCCAGGTTTGCGTGAGAAGGCGGCTGGCTCGCTTCCCCCGGCTCCTCCGGGGCAAACAGGCAGCGAGGAGGAGGAGGAGGAGTGGCGGGGCAGAGGGGAGGAGGTGACCCCGGCAGATATGACAGGTGAAGGGGCAGCACGGGGCAAGGCTGGGGCAGTTCATCCCCGCAAAACACTGGGTGGCACCCGACAGAGAAATGCTCGAGCTAGCGAGGCTGCTTCTCCGGGCGGGGCAAAATTCAGGGGAATTTTGGAAGTGCAGCTGGGATGAGCAGGAATGAGCCAGAGCTTGGGGGTTTAGCCCGAAGTTTCCTTCAATCTTTGAAAATTCCGGTGGGAATTTGGCCCAGGTGAAAGCTGAGCTAATATTTAATAAAGGCTTTCAACATCTGGTCTAATCGGGCTCGTTAATAGCAATGACGCCGTTCATTAATGTTTGGCAAGAACAGTTACAAAACTCCGGCTGCTAATATTCCTGCTGATAATTCCCAGGAATGCCGCAGCTTTCCCAGCCCCGGCAAGACCCTTGGGAACGCTTCTGGGGAGGCAGGCTGCGGGAGCAGGGCTGGCTGGATCCTGCCAGCGCCTCCCCTCCCAATGGATCTATCCGGACCCCATTGCATGCGGTCGGGTTGGGGCTGGGGGGGGGGGTGAG